CAGGCTTTCTACTCCCGTAAAGATTTACACCCTCGGAAACCCTGTACAGGGTCGCTATGGGTTGGAACCGACTCGACGGCACCTAACAACAACAACAAGAAGTACCAGGGGAGTCCTGACGTGGCGCTGCGGGTTAATGTGCTGGATGGCAAAGTCATTTGAACTGCAAGGTCAGTGGTTCAAGCTCACCAGCCACTCCTCACAAACCCTATACAGGGTCGCTATGAGTCAGAACCAACTTGATGGCACTTAACAACAAGTACCAGGAGTCCTTATGTGGTGCTGTAGAATAAACAGTGGACCTCAAGGTCAGTTTGAACTGCAAGGTCATTGGTTCACACTCACCATCTGCTCCTTGGAAACCCTATACAGAGTTGCTAAGAATCAGAACCAACTCGTCGCACTTAACAACACCAAGTACCCACTGTTAACTGCAAGGTCAGCAGTTTGAGCCCACCAGGCACTCTGTGGGAGAAAGATGAGGCTTTCTGTTTCTATAAAGATTCCAAGCCTCAGAGACCCTTGGGAGTTCTACTCTGCCCCACAGGGTCACTGTGAGTCAGAAGCGATTTGATGGCAGTAAGTGGATGAGTACTGAGTCCCAAGTTCTGTTCCAAACACTTCAGAGTTAGTTTCCACTTACTCCTTCCAACAATCCTGAGATTTTACAGATGGAAATTGTGGCAGAAAGAGGCAAAATGCCTTACCCTGAGTCCCACAGGAAGGGTGAGACCAGGGAAGAAAACCTGGCACTCTGGCCTCAAAGCCCACTGCCCCAACACCCAGGCCACCATCCCCTTCGAGGGAGGAGACCAAAGTCAGGGGTCAAGGAGAACAGGGTCTCCATCTCTGTCCTGGCCCTACCTGAAGGGCTGCAGGATGCAGAATTCTCCCACAGGGCTGTGGCTCACAGTGGCACTTGGGGATGGGGGTGGGATGAAGCAGGACACGGAAACAAGGAGCATTTCCGAGAAACGGAAATTGGGATGTCAGGATGGAGAGCTAGTTCTGGGAAAGGATTGAGAGTCTGCTCATGTGGAGACTGAGCTATGGCGATGTGCAGACAGAGCTGCTTAGCAAGAAGGTAGAACCTGAGCAAACAGAAGAAAAAACTCAAGTTCAGAGACATGTAAAGGTCCACATGGTTGGGGGAGAGTGATGCCGGGAAAGAAGAGGAACTAAAAAGGGTAAGTGGACTGAGGACAGGTCAAACCCACCCTGGTGGTCTCTGCTTCTGAAAGTTCACAGCCTTGAAAGCTGGAGCAGCTCTATTCTGCCGACTTGCAGCTCGGAGTCCAGCACTTAATCCTCAGAGCCACTCAGAGGCCCTGTCTTTCAATGATAACGGATTCTTTCATATGCTATTAAAGGAAAAAATGCGTAATGGGTCATTTTAATGAATTTACTAAGTGTCTCTGGCTCTGCACCAACTACTCCACTCACCGCTGTGATGTGCTTAGTAAGAATCTAGAACAGATGGTACCACAAGCAATTGGAAAGTGGGAACTTTCAGAAAAATATTATAACATATTAGGCTGTAAATTAATGAACTAATTACTTTTCAATGTAACTCATAATGACCCAATATATAACAGAAGGAAACGCCACCCTATTCTGTGTCATCCTACAATAAAAAGAAGGTTCAGAGAAAGAAAGCCAAACCCAAATCCACTGCTACTGAGTCGACTGTGAGGCATACATAGTGACCCTATAGATCACAGTGACCCCACAGATCATAGTGAGCCTACACAGAGTTTCCGAGGCTGCAAATCTTTATAGAAGCAATATAGCCTTATCTTTCTCTAACAGATGAGCTGTTGGTGGGTTTGAACCACTGACCTGGCAGTGAGCAGCCCAATGCCTAACTCACAATACTACCAGGGCTCCTTCAGTTAAATTCTGTTGTTACATGCTGTCAACTTGATTCCAACTCAGCTACCGTGTACAGGGTTTCAATGGAGCAGCTGGCGGACCTGAACTGCCAACCTTGTGATTTACAGTCCAGTGCTGATCCTACAGCGCCACACCAAGAGATAAATTTAGCTGATCCAAAATTCATGATCTGAAAATGGGCATAATCTTTTAGAAAGTTTTTTTTTTTGAAATAAAAGATATAATTTAAAAGGAGAATGCAAGAGTCAGACAGATAGAAGCGAATAGCTGAATGTGGGAACGGTGCTGAGGAGAGACAGTGATGCTGGAAGAAGACTGTGCAGCTTTCAGAAGAGATGTGGGGTGGGAGTGGGGCCCAGTTTCCCCCCACACAGGTGTCCACAGCAGACACAACACCAGAGTAGCTTACCATTACTATGAAGAAGATCTAGGAACAGGCAAACTGGAAAACAGAATTTTTAAATGCTACCAATGAATAAAGGAGCTCTGGTAGCGTAGTGGTTATGAATTGGGCTGCGAACCGCAAGGTCAGCAGTTCAAAACTACCAGCTGCTCTGCGGGAGAAAGATGAGGTGTTCTGCTCCCGTAAAGATTTAACAGCCTCGGAAACCCTGTGCTGGGTCGCTATGAGTCGGAACCGACTCCACGGCACATAACAACAACAACCACCACCAATGAATAAAAGGAGCTCTGGTACTGTAGTGGTTATGAATCGGGCTGCTAACCTCAAGGTCAGCAGTTCGAAACTACCAGCCGTTCTGTGGGAAAAAGAGGATTTCTGCTCCCATAAAGATTTACAGCCTCAGAAACCTTTGAGTCACTAGGAGTCAGAACTGACTCCACGGCACGTAACCACCACCCCCACCAATGAACAATGGTTATCTGGGGTCTGAATCCTGACACTGCTCAGAGCATTACAAAACTAATCAGAATCCGGCCTATTTAAATCTTCCTCAGACCCCAGAGAACACAGCCCACACATGGTGGTTAAAATGATTTTTACTTGAATTAAATCCAAATGCTCAAGTTAATGATTTATGGTCATGATTCCTGTACTTTGTTCATTCCAGTTTCGTTTATTTTCCAATTTCTTTTTTTTTTCCTTTCAAAGGATGTGAGTAGAGTTAATGTTAGCTTGGAATACTAAAGTCCACCTTTTTAAAAAATAAAAAGTTGGCCACATCATCTTCTAAATAACCTAAAATTAGGCTTAATTTTATGAGAGGGCCTTCAGAAGGTTGATGGACAAATGGAATGACAAGATTATAGAATTTTCCCGAACTTTTTCAGTGTGTGGCCTTTCACTCTAGAGCCTCAGCTCATCCTGAGCTAGGGAATGGCTGAGGCAGTTGCCCTGAATTAAAGCCAGATGCAGCAATCTTTCGCTTCCTTCACTTATTTTATGATCACCTCAGTATGTTGCTGTTGTTGTTCAGTATTGCCTTGGACTTTAAGCAAGTTCATTTCACTGATGGTTTTGTAAAACCCAGTGAATCTCAACTGGGTGGGTTTTGTCCCAGGGGACATCTGGCATATCTGTAGACATTGGTTGTCTCAAACCAACTGAGGGTCCTACTGGCATCTAGTCATTAGAGGCCAGGGAGGCTGCGAACCATTCTCTAGTGTACAGGACAGGTCCCTATGATGAAGAATGGTCAGGCCCCAAACGTAAACAGTGCTCGGGGAGCGAATTTCTGGTAAAAATCCAAGTAAAACTACAATCTCCTCACATTTCCTAGAATTTCTCACTGACCAGCTGTCTTAGCGTAACAAAACGCCGCAAAGTAGGGAAATGCGCAACTTATAATGATCACCTGGCCTCTGAATTTTTAAGTGTCTGCGTCAGACGAATTTGTGATTCAGAATACTTATAAACAGTACTGTAAAATGTATAAAACCTGCAGTTATTATATTGTAACGGTCCTTGGATAAACTTCTGGAGGGTTAAGATCTAATAGAGACATTCTGTAAGCACATGACTTATATCATTACTAGATTTAAGATCATGTAAAACATTTCATGTAGTTTTAAAATATCAAGAATTAGTGTGTTCTAACACTCATGCATTTTTAAAGACATAAGGTAGCAATGACATTTTTATATCCGTCTTCTCAATTTTCTTCTTGAAACTAACTCTGGATAATCATTAAGCCAAAATTGAACCAGACAAAGTCATCTGAAACAGTTCTTGTGTGGTGCTGATGGCTACAGCAAGGTCAGTTTAAATCAAAAGATCAGCAGTTCAAACTTACCAGCCACTCCTTGGAAACCCTATACAGGGTTGCTAAAAGTCAGAACTGACTCGATGGTACTTTACAACACTAATGTAAAACTTCAGTGTATTCTCAAATGATTCCACTCTCAGAAGTTTTCTTAAAGCAGCACAGTAATGGTAGCAAGTGCTTAGTGCCTACTTTTAACTAGCCTCTTTGTCCCGGCAAGATGAGAGGATTACAGTTCTGAATGTTAACTATATGCCACAGAGCACCACACAGCTCCTCTCCTGTTCCGGCTAGCCTCAGCAATAGGAGCCCTTCTCTCCTTTCTACTCCACCCTTTGAGAAGGTATTGGTAATGTCTGGGGTCTGCGTTCATATCATGCCAAAGTTTTAAAAGCAATTCTCAATTAAAACTCTGCCTGTACTCCTATAATTAATTTAAACAAGTCTTTAGGCAGGTATTAACAGGTGAGTTCTTGGTTAATATCCAACAAAATGCCACACAGAAATATAAAAACCACTTGGCTTCCTTATGCCGGAATACCACACAGGCGTTCACAACCAGCTCTGAGCCCAGCCAAGCTGCCACACCAGCAGAGCAATGTAGGACATACCTGGTTGTTGTTGTTAGCAACAGACGAGTCGGCTTGAGCTGTACTTGCGGAGAGGGAATCGAGGAAGGCTTGGTCAGCCACTGAATTTCCACAAGAAAACGGATCTTTTCCATCATTGGGTAAAATCTGAAAATTAAAAGGAACCACAATCATTTTCATTCTTTAGAATTATTTCAGAATCAGAGTCTCTGAGAACAAGCAATGGCTGTCAACTCCTGGGAGTCCCGCCAGAATGTCCTCAGAAGTGAGGATGCTGAGATATCATCTCATGGACTATGGACATGTTCTCAGGCGGAACCAGTCCCTGGAGAAGAGCATCATGCTTGGTAGAGTGGAGGGTCAGCGAAAAAGAGGAAGACTCCCAAGGAGATGGACTGACACCGCGGCTGCAACATGGGCTCAGGCACAGTAAGGGCTGTGAGGATGCCGCGGGACCACGCACTGTGGTTCTCTTGTGCAGAGTCACTGTGAGTTGGAACCAACTCAATGGCACCTAACAACAATTTAAAAGATAATCATACCCAAGAATGTTGGAATTAGCAATCCTTTTCTATCATTATGTAGGTTTCTAAAAGTGCAGTGAATGCCAATTAGATTTCTAGAAAGTTCAATTAATTCTCAATCCTGTCAATATTTAGAATACTGAGTGCATTAGGATGGAGAGACAACTCTGAAAGTGTGCAAATGGACGGCATTCAGTGGGACTAGGGGTGAGCGTGGGGGTAACCTGGGAGTGGGCATACAGACACTTTAAAGTGGGGGTAACTCGTGGTGAGCATATGGACACTATAAAGTGGGGGGGTGAGTCAGGGATGAGCACACGCGCCGTGGATGGCGTTTGGACACCATGAGACGCTGTGACGGGCACACGTTCTCTGAGAAGGTCTATAGACGTTGTCAGTTCCTCAGAATGTTCATGCCTCCCTGCACCTCTGCAGCTGGTTCCAACTAAATGTCCTCCGAGAACGGCTCTTCCTCTCTCCAAGACTGATCCAGAGGCACTTTTACTCTTGAGCTCTCTCTCCAGTCTTTCCTGAGATGAGAGAGGGGAATCTCACCAGTACCTAGAACTTGAGTTTGCGGTGACCTACCTACAGCTGACCGGCAGAGGGCGCCAGGAGGTTGAGCACAGAGGTTTTTGTCTGCTGAGTGGGTGTGTCCCCGGACAGGGCATGCTCTTTCTGAAGGTTTGTAACCTCTCCTTGGCACCACTTAAGACAGAATAAAACCCTGCCTGGTCCTGTACCATCTTCACCCTCATTCCTATGTTTGAGCCCATTGTAGCAGCCACTGTGTCCTCTCATTGAGGGTCTTCCTCTTTCTTGATGACCCTCCACTTTACCCAGACAGCTATCAGAATAGAGCTGAAACCAGACAATAGCTTATAGCAGCTCCTTTAAGATACCTCTGGTCCCTGGGAATGGGATAAGTAGGCCCCAGGGAGAAGAAAGCTACTTAGAATAGAAAAAAAATCAGCTATTTAAATGTGGTGAATCAATTCTACAATAAACAATATCGTAGGCAACAGCAAGTCATAATCTGAGCAAAAGGGAAACCGGGACTTTTATTTAGAGTAATTAAAACTGCGCTGTATGATCAGCACCAGACTAACAGAAAGGTTGGCGGTTCAAACCCACCAGTCTCTCCTTGGAAATCCTATCCAAGGTCACTATGAGTCAGAAGTAACTCAACAGCACTTCACAACGACAACCCTTGGAAAGAACTGAAATCTAAATATTTGCAGCACTCTTTGAAGCTTGGGTCTACAGGCAATATTTCTTCTTAGTTCAATTTCAATATATTTCCCACATTTTAAATCACTAGCATTTATTACTTCTACAATAAAAGCAGTTATATTAATTTTCTGCCATCTTTCAGTCTGTCCCCTTAAGTCAATCATCAACCAATGACAATGAGTTCTTACTTCGACGTAGTCTGTGGGCACGAGCCCCCGCTCTCCTTTGCTGTTTCTTCCTTCCAGCCATCCTCCGCCAATGTCCTAATAAAGGTGGCACACACACAGAGTTAGAGTTGGCATTCCCCACAAAAATGCTGCTTTGAGAGCTGTTACACGTGCAAGGCAATTAGCATCAAGCTTTTGATTGGCATTACTTTCACGCTCTGTTCAAATTCTGAAATTCTTGAGCTTTCTCTTTACTTCAAAAACTGATCATCTAAGACCCAAAATACCAAACTTGAATAGTAATCATCAAAGCTTACACAATGACTTAGCAGGGGACTGCCATCAATTTGTGTTTGCTTTCTACCTGCACTCTGCGGCTCATTACAAAAATGGCTGAGAAAGAGAGAATGCTGTCTCCCCCTCGAGAGTCTGCACCAGTCTTTGGGACCCCTTTGGTCAATAGAATGAGGCTGACATACTATGAGGTGTGTTCAGAGCCTGGCCTCAAGACTGCACGCTGCAGTTCTCTTCCTGCAGCCCTCAGTCACCATGAGAATCAATGTGGGCTGCTAGGTGGTGAGAAGCATAAGGTTCAGCTCCCTGCAGCCGCAGCCCCAGCCAGCCAGCCCTCAGGGGGTCTGCCAGGTAAAAGAGTGAAGACCACTAAGACCATTCAGGCCCGGTGGGGGTGACAACACTGTTCAGGTGGCTGCAGGTACATCAGGGAGCTCAGATCAGCACACCCACCCTGCTGCCTTCGAACCCACAGTTTCGGGACTGCCTGTTAGCTCTTCTGGATGAGTAATGATAATAAACAAAGCACTAGAGAACCCTGCCAAGATTCTCTCAGCCAAGACACGCTTTCCCTCTTAAGACAGGAGTTAATCAATTGTGTCCCAATTAGTTTAGGGTTGGTAGTTAGCTGAACCGTATTACCACATTCTTTTTTTGTTGTTTTAAATCATTTGAAGCCACAACTGTAATTTTTTTATTCCAATGACAACTTAAAGACATTTACTATTTTACGAACATAAATCCAACAGAATAGTACTTAGCTAGATTTTTTTTAATCATGAAATTTTGAAATATTTTTTCATTCAAAAATATCAGATAAGTAGACAAAAGAATCTTTCATCTTTCCTCTGGTTAAAAGTGGAGCACTGACTCTGTGGGATAAGCACTGGACTTTGAACTTCAAGAAGGTGGCGGTTCAAGCCAGCCAGCTGCTCCATGGGAGAAAGATGTGGCTTTTTGCTCCCACAAAGATATGCAGTCTTAGAAAGCCTACACAGAGCAGGTCTGCCCTGGCTGTTGGCCCTAATCTTCCTTTCAGGCAGGTGCAAAGATGTAGGGTGGGCCCACGGTCTGATAAGACAAGATATAGTTCATCTTTCATCTCTCACATCCTTCAACAAACCCACCCTCTTCTCAAAAGCCCCAGTCACTCTGGACCCTTCTCACATGCCATCTAATCACCCCCACGTCCCCGGGTCTGACACTCGAGAGCCACCCACATCTGTCCTCAATCCCTATTGCCACGGCCCACATTCTTGTCGCCAGACTCTGCCATACCAACTCCCGCACATAACTCTGCTAGACGGACTCCTTCAATGTGTCCCTGCTCTCCTACAGCAATAGTGACACCAGAATCTAAAGTCTACAGCTGGCCTGCCCCTGGGACACCTGCTTACAGGGACTGTCCCTAGCAGAGGCTTTGAGGCCAAGCAGATACAGCTTGGAATCACTTACAAGTGGAGTGATGCAGTCTCATCACACTTGTTCGTAAAACGGAGAAGTGACCCACATAGGAGTGGCTGGGGAAAACACAGCAAAGAACACACCTGGGAAATGCAAATGGGAACACAAGGCTGTCGCTTTCCTGAAGCAGACAGCCACATCTTTCTCCCACGCAGCACTGGGGGGTTCCAGCCACCAACCTTTCAGTTAGCTGCCGCGTACTAACCCACGATGCCAGCAGGGCTCCAGCCAGGCCAGAGGCTAATAAAGACTGAAGCTGTAATGGGAGGGTAGGCACAAAGGCATTCATTCATCTAATGTCTCTAGTATGCATTCAGAGTCTTACAAAATAACAGTAAGATGAAAATATTTTGTGTGCCTACAGTTCATGCTGAATAGAACACGCAGTACAGTATTCAATGGGTTGGGAAATCGAAGTACAGGATGTGGTTCCCAGAGTAGTGTGGGAGGCAGGCAAGTACAGATAAAGCCCAGTCATGTCACTCACCCGGAAGGTCTCGATGAGAACATGGCACAGGGAAACAGGAGCGAGAGAAGGGATGTGAGATCCAGTACTCTGTGTGTGTGTGTGCAGCCCGGCCACCTGTATGGTCTGCAGTGTAAGGGGTCAGGAGACAGGCAGGAACATGGAACCAGTACTGTCTGTGTGTGTCCCTGGATGATCTGTTCAGTCTGCAGTGTAGGGCTCAGGGATATAGGAAGGAACAGGGAACCAGTACTCTGTGTGTCCCAACAACTTGTTCTGTCACAGTGTAAGGGGACAGGTAGGGACATGAGAACCAGTATTGTGTGTGTGTGTCCCCAGATGACCTGTTCAGTCTGCAGTGTAGGGGTCGGGGATAGGAAGGGACATGGAACCAGAAATGTGTGTGTGTCTGTGTGTGTGTACCCCGATGACCTGCACAAGCTTTAGTGTAAGGGTCAGGGGACAAGAAGGGACATAGGAACCAGTACTGTGTGTAGCTGTTGGCCCTAATAACGGGCACTGTAAGGGTCAGGGGGACAGGGCAAGCGTTGGGCTGGAGAAGTAAGACGGGACCAGATGGTGATGGTGGTGGGTCTTGTAGACCTACAGCTGACAGGAAGCTACCCAAGAGGAGTGGCCTGGTCAGGTTTTCTTTTCGAGACAATGGTTGAGGGAGGGCAGGAGGCCCACTGGGAAGGGACACAAGCAGGTGAGATGGAAGCAGAGGGGAGAGCTGAGCAATACTCCAGGGGGACAAATCAAAGGCTTCAGCTGTCACTCGGGGTGACTGAATGACATGGCACCACCACAGATCCAGAGAGCTTCAGAGGAAGTATGGCATAGCTGCACCTGCGAGGTGTGAAACGCTTATGAATGCTGATGGCTCAGAGGCAGCTGGATAACCAACCACCTCCCAGGCTTGAGTCCCATGGTCAAGTTGCAGATACAGATTTCAGGTCTTTACCATATCAATGGCAAGAAAGAAAGAAAATCTGAGAGTGTTTACCAAGAGGAAAATGTGCCAAAGACAGGATTACATGGTAACACCAACATTCAAGAGACTGAAAGAGGAAGGAATAAATCATAAAACATTAGCTGGAAGGGTAAACGGAGAGGAATGTCGACCCCACCACTTTCCACAGTGCTGGCCGAGTGCAATAAATATCCTTTCCTGGTCTCATTCTGGGGAAAACAGGCCTGCAGACACCTGTGTAGAATAATGAGCAGAGGGCAGAGCAAAGCTGCCCATTTTTGTTCCTCAAGGCACCCAGTATACATCCTGAGTGACTGTAACGGGGGGAAAGGGCACAGAAGGACACTATAGCATCGTGTCCAACCAGAGGGAGGCAGAGAACAGTGTCCCCAAAGCAGCATGCTAGGTGTACGGAGGGGCAAAGAGAAGGGGCAACTGGTCCCAGAAGTGGCCAATTGTACCAGTACAACGGCAAATTCTGTGTCTGCTCTTATTGACATAAGCCCCAAATAAAACACTAGAAACTGAGATAATTATTTTTAAAAGACTATTTCAAGAGGCTCATCTTCTAGTTTTGCTATAATTTTAAACCATTTACATGCAGTATTTATTTGAGGAAACCTATAATAAAGTTACACTTTAAAAAAGGTCAATGAACTAAAAATGGAGGCAGGTAGCACACAGAGGTCATGGGAAAAACAAAGCAGGATCTTGGGGTGAGATAACTTAAAAAAAAAGACTATTATACTCGCCTCTGAGCTTCCTGGCAACAAAGATTTAAACAAAAAAGAAAGAAAGAAAATCATTGCTAAAGATTGTGTTTGAAGAAAGGAAATCTACAGAGCACCAGGTCTTTCTTACCACAAGGACATGGTTACATGAGCAGAGTTAAAGGTACATCTTTGAGGATGTGTGTGTGCGCACACGTGTGTCAATTTCTGCTTCCTCGAAGATTTAAAGCCTCAGACACCCTATATGGGGTCATCGAGTCAGAAGTGACTTGATGGCACTTAACAAAAACAAACAAACACGTGTGTACTTTAAAGGTGTGTGTGTGTGCAAGCATAAAGATACACACACATGTGGGCTGCAAAAAGTTCATGGAAAAGTGGAATAAAAAGATGGTGAAATGTTTCCAACAACTTTTCGAAGCCCCCTCATATATACACAGACAGGATCAAACATAGCTTTGTAAAGATGCAAAAAATGTTTGTTATACACAGTCATCTCTTATTTAACAAAAATTGAGGCAATAACTTGCGATTTCAGCAGAGATAATTTCATTGGGAGGTAAGATGATATACTCCAAGTATATTGCTGTCTGGTAATATAATCTGACTTAAGGATAAAGCTTAGAAAAAGAATGATTCCAGTAAAAGCAAGCTTAAATCAACAAGCTAAAGCATTTAGGAAGAGCTACATCATGTCTCATTTATTCTAGAGACACAGTATTACAGTGCCAGGAGAAAGCACACGGCTCCATAACAATGGCAGGTTGCTCAAAATGTCAGGGTATATAAAATGCATTTGTAGAAAAAATAATAAAGAAAAAAGCATAAAATAAACATCGGAAAGGCACAAAACAAAGAGACAATAGTAAGCCCAATTATGTACTCGGGTAGCTTGAGGAAAGCGTTCCCTGGTGGCACTGTGGGTTAAGCAGTGGGCTGGAGACTGAAGCCAACAGCAGCTCCTCGGAGGCAGCCCTAAAGACTGACAGCTTTGCAAACCCCATGGGGCAGTTCCACTCAGTCCAATGCAGTCGCTAGGAGTCAGAATCCATGCAACTGCACTGCGCTTGGTTTGATTATCTTTTGGAAACTTAATTCTCAGTGTTTACATACAGAGTTGCTTACTTCGTAACCGTATGGGTGAATGATCAACTCATTTTTTTTTTCCCATCGTAAACAGCATTTTATTTTGTAATTAAAAGTTTGACATACACATTGTTTGAACACACCTTGTACATTGAGTTTACTTTTAACTTATGCATTAATAACAATAGATTTGAAACAGAATATATTTTTAAATGAACTACATGTGTTTTATTAAACACTGAAGAATAGTTTCGTTATTTGACAAATTCTAGTTCTTTTAATAGTTTCTATACTAACATGAATTTAGATGTACAAACAGTAGGTTCACAGTATTTGGTTTGATAAACAAATTAGGAAAATTATATTAATTCAGTATAATTGATCAACTATTTTTTTTCTATATTATAGGAAAATAACCAAAGTTTTAAGTAGCATTTTAAGAACAGATGAATTTGAAAATAAGGAATTTTTTTGTTTTGTATTTTGGACATCTACAAATGAAGTGCACCTAGTAACAATAACTGCAATGGATTGACTATTCAATTTGTTTGTATTTTGATGGTTGGCTATTTGGTTTTTCCTAAAATGAGAAAGATATTTTAAACTATAAAGAATTTTCTAACCAGTCTCATCTTTGCAGGAAGTTACCTGTGTAAAAAGGGAAGTGACACTGGAAAGTAAAAACATGGTTAATAAAGTGGAAAGAATGTGTAGAATTTGCATGCTACTTGCAATTTTTTCTTTTTTCATCACTTTTAATAATGGAATGGAAATGCAAGCTGTAAAGATTCTCAAATATAAAGTATTTGCTACAATGTATATATTGTACACAATTTTTTGTTGCTTTTTTAAAATTTGCCTTTATTCTGTTTCCACTGAATTCATACCATTTTTCGAAACAATGTTAATCTCTCCAGAGGATGTTCAAGGTGGAAGGGAGAATGTTTAACCATTTTTGATCAAATAGATGATTGGTCCCTAGGTTTTTGAATGATCAACTAATTTTAAAAATCAAATCTCAGAAATAAGTCTGTAAGAAACGCTCTCCTACCGGGTTTGTTATGGTGATGATTTCTCCTTCATTTACTGTCAGTTCATTGTTTCCAGGTTCAGCAGCAAAATCATACATAACCCGAGCCTGTGTGAAGGAGAAAGGAAAAGACAAAAAGCTTAAAAAGTAAACTTAACAACAAAACAAAACAAGTAAGTCCCAAGCTCCTTACACAGGCCACTTGGAAATTTTGCCCTCAGAAAAGAAGCATTTCTGCAGGAGAATGGGACCCCTGTTCCTAAAATGATTTATCGGCTTTGTGTGAGGACCAGAGACAGCTATGGGGATGGCCCTTGGGCTCTTTTGAAAGCAGGAAGATTTCCAGTGACTGCCCCTACTGCAAAGAGCCACACAGTCAGTGGTTCAAACCCACTAGTTGCTCTGTCCTCAGGTGAAAGATGAGGCTATTGGCCCTTACAGCGATTTACAGTCTCAGAAGCCCTAAAGGACAGTTCTATTTTGTCCTATAGGGTCGCCATGAGTCAAAATCGACTGGTTGGCAATAGGTCTTTTTGGCCCCCATCACATTTAGGAATCAGCACTACAAAAATTAACTAAAGAGAAGGAACAAATCCTTACAGCAAGAAACATTCCCACCCCCTCCACACACAGAGTAGACAGAGATGGGCAACTTGGACATTGGATACCCAAATGGGGAGGGGGGACTACAAAGGCAAGAAGTGACTGGCTTACAAGCTTTCAAGAGGGAACCTAGAGCTAGGGGGCATGGAGGAAGGCAGAATCACCCAGTGAGTACTATCCAATCTGTCTAGGCGGAGCTGATGAAATGAAATACAGATGGGTAACTCGTGATACTGTAGTGAAAAATGGTTATCAGGACTGATTATGAGGGTTGGAAATGCAAAGGTAGACGTTTTGTAGCAAGGAAGGGAGTGATTAATTCTCCAGTCTAGGAACGGAGGCCTCTAGGACCATCAATGAAGAGCCGAGAGCGGGACCCTACCCAGAGAAGCAGAGATACCTGAGATAGAGACAATGACGTGGTGTGAAGAAGCGGCTGGGGACTTTGGATCCAGAGAGGGAGACGGCCTGGGGGCCGAAAACTGGGGGCAGGGGAGTGTAGGGGACGGGTTTCTAGGATATACCCTTTGGTCGGTTGATGATGCATGGAGGGGATTGGAACCATGGCAATGAAATGATATACGATGGAATGAATGTAAAACTAAAGTTCTCTCATGTAAACTATTATATAATTCACAATAAAACATTTAAAAAAATTAATTAAAGATACACCCATTATTTTAAAGCAATAAAGGGCATTAGCATGCCTTCCTTCTGGGAGATAAGCAGGTAAAACACAGGTATTGTTCATTCTGTGAATGGTCTCAAAGAGATGTAAATACACACACACTTAAAATACATATTTCTTTAGATCAAAATCCTTTGTTAACAAAGCTTTCCCTACTTCTTATCCAGAGTCCTAGTGTGGCACTGTGGGATAATGCACTGGACCGCAAGGTCAGGTTGAACTGTAAGGTCAACAGTTGAAATTCACCAGCCACTCCTTGGAAAGCCTATATAGACAGGGTAGCTATGAGTAGGAACCAATTTGATGACATTTAACAACAACATCAATAACAACTTATCCAGAGCCCTTGGGATGAATTTTGGTGACACCACCTAAACTCAGAAATGGACGCTGGTACCGCTGCACTTACATAGGGCTGTGTGTGTTGGTAAGGTTACCTACAGATCAGCTGCACTTTCAATCTTTTCCTTGAGGCTCTGTCAGGGATTGGATGGTGTCACATTGGCTGGGCCACAATTCTCAGTGGTGTGGCAATTATGTAATGGCAGTTCTATAATGATGTAATCAGCCCCAGGATGTGATCAGGTCAGAGCCCCAATAAGAAGGGGAGTTTCCCTGGGTATAGCCACTATCACCTTTTATCCTACAAGAGACAGAAGGAGAGAAGGGAGCACTAAAGGAAGAGGAGCTAGGAGCAGTGTCCTCCTAAACTGTGAGAAAATCCACTTCTGTTTGATAGAACCAGCCACTTGTGGTACTACAGCAGCACCAGGGAACCAGGCAAGTGTCAGCCCAGAAAAGTGAACTCCCTGGAATCTTTCTGTGTGTCTTGTAGCGTTGTGGTAAGGTAGACAGTACTTTATAGTTTATAATATGTAATAAATGTGTAATAGAGAAAAGTTCCACTGTCTTTTAATTCCATTTTCCATGAGCTTTTTGAAGTTCCCTCATATATTTCATTCCATTTCAAGTTCTAAACAAATATTTTTGTGGACTATCTTCCAGAAGTCTACCTTATACATTGAGGGTCACACGTATTAGGTAACTTATGGTTTGTTTTAAAAGCAACTGCTTACCTTGAAAGTCAAATGCAAATAGGATTAACGGAGTTGTACTCATTGAGCAAATATTTACCAATGCCTGCCATATGGCACGAGTTGTGCCGGGCCTTTGGTCCACCTGGTACCCACCTTCCCATTTCCTTAATGATGTCTGCCACTCGCTTCACAAAGATTAAGGATTCACATCTAGTGGTAACCAACTAGGGAAAAACAAATGCAAAGCACAAACCAGGGCTCACTTATTCTGAAATACACGAAACACAAAAAAGATGGACTAATTGATGACTGTGTGAGGAAGCAGGTGCAGTCAGATGGAATTGGAAACTCTGGGTTTGTGGTTGTTGTTGTTGTTGTTAAGTGCCGTCGAGTCGGTTCCGACCCATAGCGACCCTTGTACAGGGTTTCCGAGGGTGTAAATCTTTACGGGAGTAGAAAGCCTCATCTTTGTGGTACGTAACGTAAAATCCTTTCAACTTTTGTGCATGATGGAGATTTTGAAAAATAAAATGGTGGAGAAAAAACAAATGATAAGTTTCTTTTAATTGTATAGATATATTGCCTGCCCCCAAATTCTACATTAAAAAGGGGGGTGGGGGTGGGGGCGGAGAAGACATGATTCATAACAGCAGAAGATAAAAGATCTAGGAATACACTTAAGAATTACCTGGAATAAAGTTTTTCCCGTTTGGAAAAAATGTTAATATGATTCCAAAAGCCATAAAAATTGGGAAAAAATGGACATAGATAAATTGTTTTCAAAGACAGTCACAACAAATCCTCCCTCTACCAACACCTTTGACAATGTGGCTCAGCCCCTCCTCCCAGTGAGAAGTGAGGGCTGCATTTCCACCTCCTGACTCTAGACTTGTCCACAGAGACCAGCAAAGCTATGGAAAAGTGTGTGAACACTGGGGCTTGTCCTTCCTTATACTAGGAACACTTCGGCTACCACGTGAATGAGCCTGGGTTTGCCCAGAGAGATAAGAGACGGCACAGAAAGAGACCCCAAGCACCCTGGCCATATTGGTTGAGGAACCAACATTTGGTGAGTTGCTTTGGGTTGAACTGTATCCCTCCAAAATATGTGTTGAAGTCCAATCCCCTGGTGCCTGTGAATCTAACCTTGTTTGGCAACAGGGGGTGAAGATGTTATCGAGTAACATGAGGTTCATGCTAGAGTCGGGTAAGTCTTAATCCCATCTGAACGGTGTCTTTTATAAACCCAGGAGTAAGAATACAGACTGAGGAAGGGCAGTCAGGTAAAGATGTGTCTACAAAACAAGTAACACACGGCGCTACCACAAGCCAGGAGACTAGAGAGCCTCTTCCCCTAGAGCTTTCGGAGGGAACACGGCCCAGCTTTGGATTCCCCGCCTTCAGACTGTGAGACAAGAGATTTCTGTTCTCATTAGCCACCAGGTTGTGGGATTTTGTCAAGGCAGCCTGGAGAAGTAATACACCAACCAAGCCAAGCTCGGCTGGGCCTTCCAGACCACAGCCAGCCTGCAGAAATAATAAATGTTGTTTTAAGTCACTGAGTTTGGGGGTAGTCTGTTATGTGGCTCAAACTAGGTCATATAGAAAGGTCCCTAGGTTTTAACATCAGAAGCCGTGGTGTCATCAACTGGACAGAAGGCTGAGGCTGTCTGCTCCCATGAGGACTTACAGTCTCAGAGACCCACAGAGTCACTATCAGTCAGAACCGACTCGATGGCGGCGGGTAAATATCAAGGAGCCCTCGAAGTGCAGTGGTTAAGTGTTCATCTTCTAACCGAAAGGTTGGCGGTTTGGAGGCTCCGCGGGAGAAAGATGTGGCAGTCTGCTTCTGTAAAGATTTGCAGTCACACTCTGTACTATGCGATAGCAACTCCACGGCAATAGGCTAGGGTGGGCATATCATCAAGACAGCAGACTCCCTTTACTTTCTCTTAATTCTAAGACAATAGGAAGCATATCCAAAACAGAACCGACTTATCCTAAAAGCCATTTGGACAAATAAACAAGAACAGCCTAGATTTTGTTTCCTACCCCCCACCTCCAACAAAGAAGAGCAACGAGAAGAGACTGGATAGAAATAGCAGACAGTCTTCAACCAGTCCCAAAGACATACAGAAATATACGTAGGCTAATATGGCAAAGGTCCCAGTGTGCTGCTGCAGGATAAGGTTGTCAGTTCAAACCCACCAGGCGCTTCTCAGAAACCTTCCACAGGGTCACTATGAGTCAGAACCAACTGTAGAGCACGTTACAGTAACAACAATCATAAAGGCGGCATTCACTGTGTTGGCATTGGTACGCATTAACTTGATGGTAACTGCTCTGGTTTGGTAAACGTGTTAGGATCACTGAGTTGTTGCTGTTGTTGTTAAGTTGTATTGGTTCATAGCGACCTTGTACACAATTTCCGAGGAAGGCTGGTAAATCTGAACCACTGACCTTGTGTCTCAAACTGACCTTGCAGTCCAGCGCATTATCCTGAAGCACCACACCAGGACTCTAGACCCTAGGAAACTGAAGATGCTGTTTTCTCTAACAAATAAATTCCAGATACAAAAGAAAGTATGGGAGAAAGGAAGAGATGGGCAGGGAAATCTATACATTTAAGAATACTTAAAAGGTCATGAATAAATAAAATGTACAGGCTTTATTTGGAGTCTGAGTCCAACAAGCTGTTTAAAAAAAAAAAAAAAAAAAAAGATGGCATTTGAGACAACTGGAAATCTGAATTCTTAAGGGTTGTGTGATAGTCTGAAAGC